CTCTATTCAAAACCATATTTTGACTTCTTCAAAGATTCTTCAACTAAAGCACAAATTCCTTTTTAACCAAAACATCAATTCCCAATGGAATTTGGGTTACAATTCAACATGAAATTATATTCAAGTGTAGTTATACGATTAAATAAAACTGAAATACATTTACATGATTGACACTAAAGTAAAATACAGTTACCATGAATGAAATTAACCATAAAAGTGAATATTTTGAGATGTGGTCATTTTAATGGAAATTGTCGATTTTTATTCCGTTCTATAGATTACATGAAAATGAATTGTTCCATTTATAAAATATTCAAAGTTTAATAGGTAGCTCACGTTCTTGAAATATTTGGATGAATTGTGATGGCATGTCATGTCATCTTTAACTTTACATGCTCGGGATCATTAAAATGATTGCTATGCGAATGTTTTCTTCTTCCTCAAGGCCTCATTAAACACGGAAAATTCTTGGACGATGGCTCCGTGTACAACCTCCTCATCTGCAAGCTAGTCGTCAAGTGTAGCAAATCACGTACAATAACATCTCGATAGATTGTAGCACTCTCCGTGCAATATGACCATCTCCAAGCAATCCCAATCACTAGAGCAAAATTCACCTAGACTTGTTCCGAATCGATTGGCAACAAATATTTGCTCTTATTCTCACTTCAATGACTGCTTCGCCAGGTCCAACCTACAAACTTAGTATTACATTATTACTTTATGACACGTTTAGAAAATCATATCTGTCAGTTTCAACTATTTAATACTTTAAATTAATAGCTGATTCTTCCAATATCAAGAAATACAAAGGTGGTGGGCTATTACCCAGAGTGCATCGAGACCTATAGAAGGGGAAGAAAAATCTCAGGTTTCTCATCTACACCACCGTTCATGAACTCACTCTTGATTTTAATTTTAGTTTTTCAATTCTCATTTGAAGAAGAAATGGGCTGATGTCAACGCGGCTCCGACTCATTCTTCATTTTTCCTCACCCTTTTTTTTTTTTTGTGGTACAGGTACAGAAGGAGAAACACACCGAATTCTTACGCATAAGTCGTTTGATTCTCACTTTGTGAGTGCTTCTTTTTCATTTTTGCAATGCTTGCATGTATATGATTTTATGAAGTTGATTTCTCGGATTTTCATTTCGTTATGCGATGAAGTTTCAACTTAATTGGGATAAAGAAGTGCCCATGTTTGAAAAATTCTCTTGAATTTGGTCAGATAAGAAGTGATTTTTTGTATTTGTAAATTAAATGAACAAATTGGTTTTGAGATTTTGATGGGCTACTGTTTAATTTTTTGTTCCTATAAACGGAAATAATTAATTTCTTGCACTTGTTGGAAATGCTATATTTGCTTGATTGTAAATGTGTTTATGACTTTAATTTGAGTACTTCTGGACATGCCACTTTGAATAGCTTTCTTTGTTATGTTTTTTTGGCAAGGCGATTTCAGGCATCGTATCATGGCCTATTTTAACTTGTGCTCTTGGAAATCGTATCTGGTGCTCTTGATCCAATTTATTTAATATAGCTGAGTGATCCTAAATGGAGAATTGGCATATTTTTATCAACGGATCATTTCATGTATGTTTAGATTTGGCAAGTAAATGTTATAAGTCGAGATTCAAGGGTTGATTGCTTACATAAGCTTCGAGATATTCTTAGTTTATGATTGGGTTATTTGTACGTCTAACTTCGAGGACTCTGAATACATGGAGTAGCGAGCCAATCGCGCTCTTTGCAAATTTGGTTGTTCTTTAATTGTTTTTTGTTGTTTAGTCTTTGAAGCGAATGAATGAGTCTTCAAATGCACATTTTTTTTTCCTTGTTGAATTCAATTTATTTAATATACTGACCTGAGTAGTCCTAGAGGAAGAATTGCCATGTTGTCACTAATGGATCCTTGCATGTATGTTTTAGATTTGACAAGTAAATGTAAAGCATTAAGATTTCAGGGTCGATTTTTAACATAAGCTTAAAGATATTTATGATTGGTTGGTTGAAAGTCTGATTTCGAAGACTCTGAATATGCGAAGTAGTGAGCCAATCCTGCTTTTCGCAATTTTGATCGTTCTTTAATTGCTTTTTGTCGTTTACCTTTTGAGGTGAATGAATGAATCATTAAATGCTCACATTATTTGCCTTGAGTAAAATGAACATCGCTCATATAGTTCGTGGAGGTTGTCTAGTGGCCAAATAGTTAGAAGTTTCAATTGTCCCATAAGTCAGTTCATAAGAATTACATCCTCTATGATTCCAGAAGAGTCGCAGAAAAAAAGATGTAAAAGATCACAGTTTATTTTAGTTTGAAACTGAGACAGTCGTTATTCCATTATTATATCCCCTAAAGCTTTAAATAATACTCATTTCTTACCTCTTAATTTGTGCACAGGACTCTTTATGTGAGCTTTGTTCTCTGTTTTTCTGCAGGCATAACATTAGATCATTCTTTAACTGATTCTTCTCGAGATTCCTAGGAAATGGGCCCTCCAAAGAACAAGTGGACAGAAACAGAAGAAGCAGCTTTGAAGGATGGCATTGCCAAGTATGGCTTAGGAAAGTGGAGTGAGATACTGAAAGACCCAGAATTTAAGATCGTCTTGAGATCCCGTTCAAATGTGAACCTTAAGGTATGAAGTCTAAGTCTCATCGTTAATTTTTCTTTTCTTTACAACAAAAGTCAACATTTTAGTGTGAGCGTCCACATTTTGATTGAGAACGATTACATTATGTTGTACGTACTGGAAGATGACATTGACGAGTTACTTTGAAAGGTTCATTTTCGTTTGTGTCAAATTTGATGCATTCACTGCTGTTGACTGGACAGGATAAATGGAGGAATATGAATTTGATGGCAAGTGGTTTGGGGTCTCAGAATAAAGCTAGTCCTTCATGTAAAAACAATCAGAAGACTTCCAGTGATGACGGAAATGCTGTGGCTCTTGGAACGGTAGCCAAGAATGATACAGAAGCTCCGCCTCCGGCAGTGTATAGTGAAACACCAGAGGAGGCCGGTTCTAAAACACAAATTGCCAGGTTGAATAATATCATCATTTAATATCACAGTTTTGTGTTATTAAATTTTGTTCCAGTTGCAAATTCACACACTTCCTTTTGAAGATACGTGTTATGATGGATATTTGAACTGCTCAAAAATTATTATGAAATACCTATCCTCGTAATTTTTTTGTCTTTTAGTTTTAGATTAGACTTCTCAATCTATATGTTTATTGATGAGATGTTTTGGGGCTCACTTCCTCTAATATAGGTTAGATGATCTTATATTGGAGGCCATAACCCAGCTGAAGGAGCCTCATGGATCTAGTCGGGCTGCAATTATACAGTACATAGAGGTAATTTCAATCTTGGTTTTAAGTTTTATTTACCTGAAATGTTTTGGAAGAATGGAATCGCACACTTGACGGAAAGTGAACAAAAATTCAAAATCATTTCAGAAATGCAATGGAGAACCTGTGAAATTTTGCCTTTCGAGTAATGTCTATTTCAACATATAAAGAAGAAAACATGTATTTATGATATAAATATAGCTGATATTGATTTTCTTTTTATTAAGAAGCACTTAATATAAAATTGGTTTTACATGATGAACTACGCTCACTAAAATTATGACAGCTCTAAATTGTAGTGATGGTAAGAATTTTAGTTGTGCGACAGCCAATTTGGGACGAGATCTGGACTCGGTAATTATGCTCATAAATGCCAAATTTCTCATTCAATTAAGTTCTTTTCTTCAAAACAGACAACTATTTTAACACCTCATGATTCACTGTCATCTTATGCTCAATTTGGGAAACAATTATATTTGTATCTAATTTTGAGATCTCGTCTATAATTTTTTTCTTTTGCTGTCATCGTCATTTTTTTCAAATTCTGATGTAACAATGTTTACATGTTAGGAATGTCAATTGGCACCACCTGACTTTGAAAAGAAATTGGCTGCAAATTTAAAGATTTTAACAGAAGCGAGACGACTGGTTAAGGTAATCCTCAGTAACAATCTCTCTTTTTTTATCTAGGTAGAGGAGTGGGTGTGGTCAGCGTGGAGTCAAAGATTAAAGGTTAGAATTCAAAGTCATGGATATAATGGAGTTTAAAAGTGGTTATTATTAGAGAGTTTTGTTGAAATGCCAGATTATTTTTCTTCCCTTTTAGGTGAGACCAACGAATAATTTAGTGGTGTATTCAATGTTAAATTGTCATGAAGGTGGATAAAATGATGGACGGGATTCTGTATTATGTTTGCGGATATGAATATAGAAAAAGCATGAACAAGCACAAAAAGTGGGATTTTGCATGCATATGAGATTGATTAGTTTCTGATATTGAATTATAATTATATTATTTGCATTCACAGGTGAAGCGTCAATATAAAATTGCACCAAGTTCCATGTCACTTGATGTACGAAAAGACCCTTGCCCTTCGCTTCAGGATGAAACCCACAAGGTTTCTTCGGAAGTAGACGTAAGTAAGATCAGAATGGTTACCAAAGCTGAGGTTGATGCTGAACTAGAAGCGATGATGAGAATGACTCGACAGGAGGCTGCAGCAGCTGCTGAACGTGCAGTAGAGGAGGCGGAAGCTGCAATTGCAGCAGCCGAGGAAGCAGAAAGGGAAGCTGAAGAGGCAGAAGCCAAAGCAGAAGCTGCATGGCTTGTTGCTGAGGCAGAAATGAAGTCATTAAAACGTAAAACTGTCCGTGCCTGGTAACGTCAATTCTTGAGTTTTGCTTATTTGCAAAGTCATCTTTTACTGCAGCCTAATCTAAGGCACAAAGGTGACCATGTGTCTATTAAGAGTATGATTGGCCATGCTTAGAAAGTTTACTTACAAGTGAGTTTGTTTTAAAATATATAACGTTCTCACTTGTAAAAGTTAGAAATAAGTTGCTTGCTTCGACACTGGGAGAAAGTTAGTTTCAAATTAAGTAACTTTTTTAATTACTTAAAAGTAAGTTATCCAAAAATGTTGGAAAACAAAAAGTTACTGAAAGTAACATTTGCTTTTATATTTAGCTTGGCCAAAACTGCTCTCATACAGATGGTAACACAAAATCGAACTTTTACTTCCAAGAGTCCCAAGTCCCAATGAGAAATTATTGATAGCTGAACAGATCTCAACTCATCAATTATTATTTTCCCAGTTTAAAACCTTCCCTAAAATTCCTTCAAAAGTTTAATTCTGTATTAATCTAAACAATTCTAACAAGTTTTCCAGTGAAGATTCTATAGCAGGCTCTCATTGCACAGATTCTTTTTGGCTCCTTTCATTAGTACCTAATATCTAGAATCTGCAAATTACATTTTTTACTCTGACAGTGTCATTTCATGAATATCCAGACTCCAAGGTGGCAAGATTGCAATGGCTTTCTTCTGAGAAGAACTCCTTTTACAAAAGGATCAGAGATTTAACCATGAATCTAAACACTTTGTTTTATGGCAATACTTTCTGTAGCGTATTACATTTGATCTCATGCTGAATTGAAAATTTTCAATCATTCAGAACTGCATAGCAATATTGAATCTATTCGAAGTTTCGGTTTATGTTTTTTCCATCTTTTCTGTTGGCCTGAGATTGATAATTTCATTGTCATTCTAAATTGACTGTGATTAGCAGAGTGCACCACTTAGATCCTATGTGTTCATATTCTCTCTTGCCTGTCGGGGCTAGTAAGAGCTAGTCTTAGACAATTCTCATTTTTTAACCACCTAAGACAGGAAAGTTTTGATTGACCGTTTAGTTATTTGCACCCCAATTGGTTTACTGTTATAAATAAGAATATGGTAGTCTTTTCAATCAAAGAAATGTTATTTTGACATTTAAATTAAGAGTAGTGATATGCCATTACAATTTTTATTTAATACACTACATTTTAATTGCAGTTAAACTTATCAATCATTGCTCATTGTAGCAATTATTTTCTTAAATTTTTCACATTGAATTTTTATTTTCAACATTCAATGAATTAGTTCATTTTGTCTTTGATTATGATTTATATCAAAATATTTAGTTTTTGTGCTTTGAAATGAAGAAAAATATTTTTCGTACTTTTTATTTTTTTAAAATAAGATAAAAAATAAGTTGTTTTATGCCATTTAAACGGATTTTTTGATATAAAACTGTTACTAAGTACAGAATGTGTTAACTAAGTGAAAGTTTGAGAATAAGAATGACATAAAAAATTGTTAGGAACAGTAGTGCTATAATGATCAAAAATTAAGAATTTTAAGTGCAATTAAAATGTGGTGCAAAAATTAAAAATTGTGGTATAAATTTACCCTTAAATTAATGGAATGTGAAGGAAAGGACAAATTGCAGCAAAATTAAATAGGGATGAACGGGAAAGAACAATAATAAAGAACTAATGTAATTCAAAATTCTACTTCACTATGAACAGACCAGGCAAAAGCAAAGAAGAAAGAAAAAAAAGAAAAGAATATATATCATTGATGAACAGTGCTTTACCAGATTTTTTTCCTGTGGATTGTTGTTGCCCCTTTACTCATTGAATCTGGTCTATTTTGGAAATATTTGGTGTTTCAAAGGGGAAATGGTTGGTTATGGACGTGGAGGATGATAGAGGCGGTGGCTAGGTATTATGTGAATGAACGTTGACATGCATTTTTTTGGAAAATGGCTACACTAAAAAATTTGGAACTCCACCGTCTATCAAAATTTTGTTTGGCCAAAGGAGGCTATAACGAAGCTGAAGGAGCCTCGTGGATCTAGTCGGGCTGCAATTGCACAGTACATGAAGTTATTTATGATATAAATATCGCTGATATTAATTTTCTTTTTACTGAGAAGCATTCAATATAAAATTGGTTTTGTTGAAAATCTTGAAGTTTCAAAATACCATTCTATTCCATTTCCCTGTCCAAATATAGGAATGCTTTGGATGTTTAGATCTGGAGATAACTTCAACATAGCATGATAAATATTGATGCAATTATAATTAGTAGTGGATGCATTGGATGCCTATGTTTTCCTGTCTTGGTTGTTTCGTTGACTGTTCCACCACTAAAATTTTGACACCTCACTGAAATTTTGATATAGTGGTGAAATACAAATAGTATTTTTTTATATGTTAGAACTAAAATTATGACAACTCGAAATTGTAGTGAAGTGTCAAAATTTTAGAAGTAGGACAACCAAATCTGGAAAACATTTGTACTCGACAATCATGTTGTCATATATCCCAATCCATTAAGTTTCTTTCTTTATTGTTTCCCACATTTCAACATCTCATGAATCAATGTCATCATATGCTTAGTATTGTTTGGCCGACCTTCATTTTTTAAAGAAAAATGCTATTCATCCCCAGTCTATATGGATATAAATGATTGGTTAAATGATAGGTGAAATTAAATGACTTATTTAATGTCACCTATCATTTAATGCCACATTAACGCCACATAGACTGGGGATACATCCCCAGTGGGGATGAATAGCATTTCTCTTTTTTAAAACTCCTTTTTCTTCCAAATTCATTTCCAATCACACATTTCATGGGATTACCAAATTTTTTCAACTTTTCAACCATAAATTTCATCAATTTTTATTAAAATTTAATAAAAATCAAGTTTTTATCCAAACCAAACAGGGGCTTAATTTGGGAAGCATTTATATTTGTATATAGTTTTCAAGTTTTCATCTATAATTTCTTGTCTACTGTTGTTATTGTAAATCTTTCAAAATTCCTATGTAACAATGTTTACATGTCTGGAACTTCAATTGGCACCTCTAGACTTTGAAAGGAAGTTGGCTACATATTTAACGACTTTGAAAGGAAGTTGTCAAAGAAGATTACAAGTGAAAATTCAAATCATTGTGATTCTTTTTGTTAGTCAAAATATTACAGATTAAATAATTTTGTTAATTGCAGTAAGAACAAAACATGTAATCCAAAGTTGCAGGAAATAATAAAAGAGTGAATATGAACTTTTAAACTGAGGCATGTGTAAACACAACTTCGTTAAAACATATTCGCCATTCACCGTGGGTGCTTGGGATTTAGTTTGAGCGTCTGTTTTCCAGGATACAACGAAAAATTAATAGAGTTTGAGTACTATAGATGCTACTTTGGCAAACTGACTTAGTATCTAAACACTATCAACACCAAGATCTTAACAGAAAGTGAAAATTATATATGCAGACGGAAAACAAAATTTTATGCAGAGAAGAGAGATTTCCATGTTTCTATAAGGAATGAAGATGACTGAATAAATAGGTTGTAATGGAGAATTAACAAGCCAGGAGTTGTGCCATTAACCACCATTAACCGGATTATTAATCTCTCCATTAATACAGACAAAATCACATGAATTTCAGGAGTTAAAAGAATCTTGAAATTTTTTATTTGGAAAAATAAGAAAGTAAAAGCAAAACTTGGACCCTCCTAATGGTCAATTTTTTATCATTATGTTCGACATTCGAGTACGCAGGTCGTACCAGCACACAAGTTCAAGATTCGAAGGCTATTTCGGTCCGTATTTTGCACCCCCTACGCGCACATGGAGAGAGCTTCTATGCTACACATGATTACACACTTCCAAAGTGTAATCATATTTAAAGTGATCATTGTCTTTATCTATCTTCCTATGTAGGATAATTTTAAACTAGTTTCCCTCCAACAAAAAATATCTTCCAATGCATCACTTTGAGTTCCAATTTTTCATTCACTCAAGCATCATTTTTGGCAAGTAAATATATGATTTCAGTGTTCTCACATATGAGAACAAATCAATCTTCATCTTTCAAAATAAAAAATGGGTCTCGCTCAAAAAGACTTGGTGATATAGTTCAACGGTTGAAACCTATATAAGATAGGTAGGTATTACCCTTTGAACCTTCCCTTGTGAATGTATATTTACTTTACTAGCCGATCAGTAGACACGATGTCCTTGAACTGTTCTGTCTTTTATGCAAAAAATGATAAATACTCCATACATGATTCTTTTAATACAATTCAGTTCTCATTGTTATGTTCACTATGACCATGAACATAAGCCTGGTTCTGTAAGCGTTCAAAAGAATTGAACCTCACACAATTCCATTAGAAGTGACCTAACCTCTCTTTCATATAAGTGATTTCTTATTATAAGTAACTCGCATTATTTAGCTCGATTGTCGAAATGTAAAAATCATTAAAAGTCTATTACTTATCATTCATCCTTACGAGCATCACCGTTACATCATAGGAATGGACATGAGATATTATCCCCAACAATGATTTAATGAAGTCTTCATAATTGGGTTGTCCCTTTGAACCTAGATCTTTGAATTTTCAGTCAACTAGGTTAGGTTTTCTTTGTATTAACTCATTCATTCAAGAGCTTAAGTGTCATTCATTTTTATATTTTTTCAACTAACTCTCTATTTAACCATTTGGCTAGTGGATCTGTAATGTTATCATTTGACCTTACATAGTCAATAGAAATAACTCTAGTTGAGAGTAGTTGTCTTATGGTATTATATCTACGACGTATATATCTAAACCATTGTATATGTTACTCTGTGTCCTTCCAACTACTGATTGACTATCACAATATATACAAATTGTTGGTACATGTTTCAACTATCTTGGAATACCCTTTAAGAAGTTGCGTAACCGCTCAGTCTCTTCACCACATTCATTTAGAGCTATAAACTCGGATTAGATGGTAGATCTAGCTATAATTGTTTGTTTAGAGGATTTTCAGGATATAGTT